AACTTTATAATGTAACGGCCAACTCCACTTTTAATCGGTAAAAAGTAGCCCAAAAGTTGACAGTGGGTGGTGTTTACTAGTTGATTTCCTTCTAGCCCGTCACTTCTAAATTTGGGACGGCTAGCGCAAATAGCCCTCTAGTAGCTTTGTGCGAAATTCAACAAACAAACACTCTTTTAATGCATTCTTCATAAGATATACCCATCTATAATCGATAGGAATTCTATAGACTCAAATAAAATAGCACAATAAATTCAATTTTATAAAGTCAGTCAACATCTGTGAACATCTGCCTTTTCTGCAACCAGTTTTGAATGCTTTCCTTCTTACTTTTACTTCCTCGTAGCAGATACTTCTTGGTTTAGAAAACGTTATATTGACAACAGATCTTTAACAAGATTCGCAACTCTAAACTACAGTAATATTATTTAAACAAAAGTACATCTACGTCATGGATCCGCATTTAGGTATGATAAATAATAGTAAAAAAAATGTGAATCTTAACCGCAGTTGTTAAACTAGGATTTTGAAAGACATTCCCATCAGAAGACCAGGAATGCAACAACATTCTGTGACCCACATTGACATTCCCATCAGAAGACCTAGGTAATGCTAACAACATTCTGTGATCCACATTGGCATTCCCATCAGAAGACCAGGAATGCAACAACATTCTGTGATCCACATTGGCATTCCCATCAGAAGACCAGGAATGCAACATCATTCTGTGATCCACATTGGCATTCCAATCAGAAGACCAGGAATGCAACAACATTCTGTGATCCACATTGGCATTCTCATCAGAAGACCAGGAATGCAACAACATTCTGTGATCCACATTGACATTCCCATCAGAAGACCAGGAACGCTAATGCTGAAGAGACGGAATGCCGTTTGGGACTGTTCAGTCCCAATTTAACCCTAACAGAGTTAAATATTTCTAGTAAAATGTGAGATAAAACAAGCCTTAAAAAATCCAACAGACTTGAGAGATGTAGTTCATCTTTTGTTCCAGTATTTTTTATAAATGTTTTTGTTTGTATCTTGCCAAACTGATATGTATGATAGTTTAAATGTTTTTGTTTGTACCTTGCCAAACTAATATCTATGATAGGTTAAATGTTTTTGTTTGTACCTTGCCAAACTGATATCTATGATAGGTTAAATGTTTTTGTCTGTTTTTTTAGGCTTAAAAATACTTTAATACAAACGAACAAGAGTCAACTTGGAGGATAGAAACCTAAAGATTAATTTTATGCACGAATGGGATAAATTACAAATTTTATATTTCATTTTCTATTTTCAGGCAGGCAAAAAGTATGATCTACGAGAGTATTACAAATAAAACTAGACAATAACGTAATTTAAAAATAATTTTTTAATTAAATAAGATCATAAACTACCGAAGAACAGAATGAAGATAGCGGAAAAAATGATAATAGAAATAACAACGCTAATTAATAATTTCTAAAATATACATAGCATTACTGAAATTAATTGGTAAAAATAACGAAGATGCTCCAAAAATAAGTAACCAGAGGGCTAAATAAATCAAATACAAAAAAAATAATCGTTTGCTGCTTCTTGTTCAATAAAACTACGAGAATGATTTAATTCGAGAAAATTTCCAGAAGTAGTTTTTCAAAAGAAAATTGAAGCACTAAAACAAACATGGACAGAAATATTCTGTGAAAAAATAAATTAGCAAGATTAATTGTTTGTTTTGAATTTCGCGCAAAGCTACACGAGGGCTATCTGCGCTAGCCGTCCTTAATTTAGCAGTGTAAGACTAGAGGGAAGGCAGCTAGTCATCACCACCCACCGCCAACTCTTGGGCTACTCTTTTACCGACGAATAGTGGGATTGACCGTCACATTATAACGCCCCCACGGCTAAAAGGGCGAGCATGTTTGGTGTGATGGGGATTCGAACCCGCGACTCTCAGATTGCGAGTCGAGTGCCCTAACCACCTGGCCATGCCGGGGCCCTAACCACCTGGCCATGTCGAGCCCAAATTAACAAGAACTAAGACATTTCTGGAGTAATTACATTGATTATAAGATATTTAGAAAAATTGATAATATTTGTTTCAGACATATTGAAGCTAGACAACATATTTGTCAAAATTAATTTGAACTCTTTAGTATTTGATAAATGTCGTACACATTTTCTGGCATTATTGTTTCGAGAAAGTCAGAGCGATATAAAACTACAAACGAAATGGAATGCTGGTGACTTATTGTCGGCTAAAATGTTTTGTTTGTTTTTTTGTTCTGTAATAGTCCTTGTTTAAATTTGAAATGTCTTTATTTAAGCATCTAATTTTTCAACCGTTGTTATGGTGTAAACGCCTCTTACATAGCTGGTGAAGCATGGTTACAATTAATTATACCTGTATTTTATGACAAGTATATCAGATGTATTATGACAAATTTTAGTGATTATAATTCTTCTGCATCTGATATAAGCACCTAATATTAAACAACTGATATAACCACCTGATTCTTCAACATCTGATTTTAGCACCTAATTCTTAAACCCCTTATTTAAGTAACAAATTCCTCAACAACTGATTTAAGTACCCAATTGTTAAATATCAAATTTAAGCACACTATAGAACTGATTGTAATAAAAATGATCAGCAACACCAGTGTTCTTTAATAATTGAGTCAGTATACCTAATAATATGTAGTTGATTTAATATCAAAATCAACCCGCAATTTACTTACTCCTTCATGCTGCAAATGAATCAAATGAATCGTAATCCAATAATTAGTAAATGACTCGTACTGCATGAATTTAATAGCACAATGGATATGAAATCCCTATCTTGAATTCTTTAACCTGATCTTTGATGCATGTTTAAAAGGGATACAATGAAACTGTAAATACAATTATTTTACTGTATTTAAATGGTACTTTTGAAGACTGGATGAAAAAAATTGATTAAATTATCAGTAGCAATTTCCATATTTCGAAATTAGTGTATGTTGACTACCTTGGCTATTTAACGAAGAGTTAGTGAAGAAATTTGCATGTTAAGCTTATAATAATTTCCAAATAATGATTAGACGAATTAATAAAAATTTTTTGATTAGGGCATAAATCGCATCATGTTTCGATATATGCACAACTTTAATCGTTGTCAATATGAAACACAACAACTCAAAGATATTAAATTGTGTTTAGAAAAATATGACTGGTAAGATACAACCTCGGAAAAACATAACATATAACTAACTAAAAATGATTTGCATATTACAAAAATTAATGATGATAGATTTTACAGTAAAGTAAAATTATAAAATATCGAAATTAAGCATTTTTCTGTAAACCAGTGCACCAAAACTATTCCACAAAAAATTGTATGTATTCTTTACAGTGGACACCTAATATCATAATATATCTTGATATATGTGATACTTGGGAAAAAAATGTATAACCCAACAATCAGATCAAAGAACGTCAATAAACTTAGTGTTTTTCAAAGGTAGATCTTCTTTATTCTGGGAGAGTGAATATCTATATGAATCATTTAGTTTTTAAATAAAACACCCTAAAATTCAGAATTGAAATAAATTTTAACTTCCTTTATAGATGACAATATATTAAGCCAATTATAAACATTGAATGATGAATGGGAAAAATACCAAGTCTTGCATCCGAAAGTAACAAGCTTGAGGACACATTCGAGCGGGAGAAGGAGGAGGAGGAGTGTTGTGAAAAGTTATTTTGGTTGAGTAGCTTAAAATGTAGCTGTAAAAACTGTTTACTCGTGACTACTACAGCGAGGGGGCGGAGGGGGGATGTAAAAACAAAAAAAAACTAAGAAAAAAACTGTGTGACAGGAATGAAATTACAGCCAAATTTTACATCTTTATTTTCAGGATTGGTGGGGTTTTGGGTGAGAGATTGCAGTTGTTTAAAACAAAGCAATCGTCTTTGTTGTTTGGTTATGAGAGATTGGAGTTAGCCATCAAAGAAAGCCTCAAGTAAAATCAAAAGGGCTATACATTCAACTTCAGTACTTGCCTGGGTGTGGTAAGATTTTCAAGCGAGTGAATATGAAGACAAATAAAACAGAAATTTCTCTGAAACTTATATTAATTTAGACATTAGCATACGATTGCTAAACTGATAATCTTAGCTTTAGAATGATAAATCGTCCTTTTATTTGTAAGAATAATGTCTACAAAACTATATTTGTTATGAAACTACATGCATTTCCCAAACCAACACAATATCATGCAATTTGGTTTCATACAAATAAAACAAAACTAGGCCTAACCACCAGAGAACGCTAAAGGAGATAGTTAGGCCTAGCATGCACTCAACAGAAATGTATCAGGCATACAATAGCATGCTATATGGATGCAGACATGTGAACTAATCATAAAACTAAATGAAAAACAACAACATACAAATATAATTGAAAGGCAAATTTTACTTTCTAAATATTCTATTCGTAATTAATTTGGAGATTAATGATACTTCCATGCGTTGTGACGAAAGCGCTAATCTCAAATCAATTAATACACCACCTCAAAAATTGTCACAAAGTATGATTAGACCTTTTGAACACCGAAAAAAATGTATACTTCACAGTGCTCTTCGGGCCTATAAATAACTAAAATCTTATTCGTCTTACAACTTTTCGTTAAAAAAATATTTTAAGGTTTTCCTTACAAAAGAAAAATAACATAAAAAAGGTTTTGAATATTTTTAATACATTAGTTTACATTGAGTGAGATATTAATAATCAATTATAAAAAATACAAAATGCTCATGTACTTTTTTATAGGTGGGGTGTTATTATTCACTTATTGGTCGTTCTTTTGGACTAATTGTTCTTATTACACAACCTAATGAAAATAGCAAGTCGTTAGAAGTTAATAAAATTATTTTTTCGACAAACTTTGAGGCAATGATATATTGTATAAAGTCTTGATTAAAAATCTGTAAGGCCTAAATTACCACGAACACACCATTAATAAGCTCTCTTAATGCTACAAAAAATAAGAACAATGAATTGGCAAGATACTGTTTTACTTTAACCATTCACGATTTAGTAGACATATCACATGCAGCAATCTCAGCGCAATGATTGGTCACTACTCTGAATGACAGTTAAATTTCAACCAATAGTATACTGCCAAAACTTTTACTTGTTTTCCCATCCTATGAAATTTCTCGTTGTAATAGCTGTTAAGCAACAGTATTAAATTTAATATTGTTGAATAGGTTAAATGTAAACTATTTTAGTCATTGTTGTAAGTAAATTTTTAGATATTTTACCGTTCTAATGATTAATAAGGTTAATATACTTTCAATGTCATTATTTTAATGATTAAAGAAAACCTTTCAACGAAAGAGATTGTTTGCAGGCAAAAAGATAACTTCGTATTCAGTTGAAATAAAAAATAGGATAATAACATCTAAATGCTTCCGAAAAAAAAAACTAATTCAGATCTTCGTGTGATTAAAATAAAAATAAAAAGTATAATGTTCATTTTGCAAATGAAACGTACACATTACATTTTAACCAGAAAAAAAATTTGATCCTCAAGTTGTATTTGATATTAATGGGAATCAAAATTTAACCAAACTAACAAAAAAATAATCTTTTGTAGGTATTTCAGTAAATATCCGAAATAAAATTGATTTCGAATAGAAAGTAAAACACTGAAAACGTAACCGTTTTGAATAATGATTATTTGATAAACACCGAGAGATACTCAATACGCAGTATACAGCGACATCTAGTGAGGATTTTTCATACTTTCTTACCCTGATTCCAAATGCAGCCAGCTTCAATAAGCATTCAACAGTAAAGAAAGCAGTGAAGACAGCATTCATGTAGTGTAGAGAAAGCACCATTAACTTGCTTTGATTGTAAAACTAGAAACGGGACAACCCACAGAGGCAAAAAAGCAAGACAAGTCAGACAGTTCAGTAAGAACAAATATAGTTAACACGTAGAACATTTTATCAATTATCAAAACTAAGATGAAATTAAAGCTCAAATTGGTAAGCCTAAAAAGAGACAACAATCCATTTTCAGAAAACAAACACCAAAAAAAAATAACTACACTCACATATATATATATATATATATACATATATATATATACATATTTTTTGTTTTACAAACATATGTATTTATTACGACTTTGTCGGTTGTATTTTAATTCATTTCTTATTAACTCACAAATTATACTTTCAGCGATATTCATACTACTTTGTTAAAACATTGGCACTGTAGTTACGTTATAGTAGCATTGAAAAGTGAATGAAACAAATTAAAAAGGGAAAAATTTCAAAGTTAAATTTTTGTTCACCCAGTTGAACCAACAGAAATGAAATTTGGAGCAATATATATATATATATTTACAGTTTATTTCATAAACAAAATGTGTCTGTGGAAGTAAATTAACTTGTCTAAGAGAGTCACATCCAACATAATTATTCCTCCCTACACTAAACCGAAACGGTCATATTCAACAGTGTCTCTTGGTATATCGAGACATGAACCTTGGATCTCTATGTAGAGTACAGTCATTCAGTAGCATTGCTATAAATTCTAGTGACCTCGATAAAAGTCCAGACGAGCTGTGTGGTCAACTGACGACCTGAAGAAGGTCTCGAAATTAAATGAGATTTTGGAAGTTTGTTCCTTACCATTGATAATCACTTTAGTCCAGAAACTTACTTTGAATCCACGAGCAATGGACTGGTGAGTCCTTGTTTGATAACAGTCATTATGAAACATTTTGGACCTTCTGCGATCTTGTACTAAACAGTCATCATGACGTACCTTTGACCTTCTGCGACCTTGTACTAAACAGTCATCATAAAGTACCTTTGACCTTATGCGACCTTGTACTAAACAGTCATCATGACGTACCTTTGACCTTCTGCGACCTTGTACTAAACAGTCATCATGAAAACTTTTCAATATTCTGCGACTTTGTACACTGGATACTCATTGTGAACCATCGTGGACCTTGTATCGGATAACCTTCTCTTAGGATTTCTACCTGAAACTACGGATTACGGACCTGAAGATGCGAAAGTGGGTCACTTCTGTCCGTTTATCCAATTTCCAGCTGTACTTCTGTCAAAAAGACCTCTTCTCCCTATCAGCAGGTAACGCTGTCATTCCGTTACCTAGGTGATAATCACCATGCAGAAAATCAATGAACTGAGGGTAGTGTAGTAAAATCCAGAGAGATTAAGAAGCACGTGCAAAATGCGCCAACGAAGCCGAGAATTCCCACAACGAGATACGTGAAATTGCACCTAACTAATTACAAATATTTTTTTAGGAATTGGATTTAGGCATCATGTTCCAGACCAACTAAATCTTTAACTTTCTATTTTTTTTTTGATGTAGTGTAGTTGGCAATATTTCACATTGTGTTATACAACGAAGAGGATAGGATAAAGATAGGACGATTTAAATATAACACACGTATCCACGAATAACTGAAATATTCAAGAATATAACAGTAGACGAAGTAGATAAATTATATTTAAAAAAAAAGTCAGTTGTCTAATCTCAAGTACGGGCCATTAGATCAAGATCATCCTTGGATCATCCTCTTGAGATCCAAACTTGGAAAATGTTGTCGAACACACGTACCAAGTTTCAATCATTAAGTTCCTAAAGATTCCCGTCGTTCTCTTTCTCGGTTACAGGGTAAGGCAAAAAAAAATCATGAATAACTCACACAGAAGATTAACCCTAAAAAAAGTTCGAAAACGTTAACCTGGCTTCGCGAGAATAAGAAACATCGTATCTTTCACCACGAAAGAAATCACAATAAACGTTTTCACAACTTATAGTTCATTTTTAATGTGATTTTTCTGACAAAAACACTAATTAAAAATGGCCACAAACTTCATTAGAAATTAAAGGCTATATACTTTTTTTGTCACGTGGACAGCACAGAGTCCAAACAACCAATTAGCACATCACTGTAAGGGATCGTTCTTATTGGTTAATAAATGCACGTGATTAGCTGATCTTGCCAACAGTGAGTGCAAAACAACCAACGTAATGGAAATATTATCGTCAAAGCTCGTCTTCATCGGTCATTAAAAGCACGTGAGAATAAGAACAGACAAGAAACAACTTTCTAGAATAAGATAAAGAAAAGGATAAGCATATGGACAAACACGTTCCACATTCAATATTTTTCACAAACGAAATGCCATGCATACTAAACCTACACCTTCAGAACACATGCTTTCGTTTTTGTTTTAAATTTCTTTCAGCAATTCTCAATTTGATAATATATTTCAGGTTTTATGTTTTTCAGTTTCACCAAAGAAATTTCAGTTTCTCGTCAACTGTCACTCCCAGTGCATGCGCAATGCCGCCAAAATGTTCAATAAAACAACAACCGGAAATTCAATAGAAAAGGTCTCGCAATATATTCGTGACAACGTTTCCATGGTTTCCATTATCCTTTCCATCGCTATGGAAACTGTAACGATGGTTACCTGTTGAGAAGAACTGGTCACTTACGTGCTCCATCCTTATCAAATTGAATATCTTTAAAAAAGAAAATAATTACGACATGTATCAGTCTTTCTTATAAGATCTCGCAATATATTTGTGACAACGTTTCCATGGTTTCCAATATCCTTTCCATCGCTATGGAAACTGTAACGATGGTTACCTGTTGAGAAAAACTAGTCACTTACGTGCTCCATCCTTATCAAATTGAATATCTTTTTACAAAAATAAATAGTTAATTACGACACGCATCAGTCTTTGTTACTCGCGATATAATTTTTTTCACGTATAAGATAAAAATAAACAGAACAGTTACCGCTCACCTTCATCATTAGTAGTAACGTGTTGAGAACGATGAGAACCATTATGAAGTATTCGAAGCCCGTTGAAACGACAATTTTCCAAATTTTGTATTTCACACTGTCTTTGTTTTTAGGCATATAACGCTGAAGAGGTTTGGCTTGCAATGCAAAGTCAATACAAGATTTCTGAAACAAACAAACAACAACGAAATGCTTATTTCCTTAATATAATTGACCAATCAGATTAACGAAATGCTTATTTCCTTAATATAATTGACCAATCAGATCAACGAAATGCTTATTTCCTTAATATAATTGACCAATCAGATTTCTCCGCGTAATATCATATAAAGACTTTTGCCTCAATATTATAAAATATATTACGAAAATCTTATCTTCGTAACTGTTTTCACTCTGTATTTGTTTGTTTCGGATGTTTGTGCAAAGGTCAATAAGATCTATTTCCGCTAGCCGTCCTTGATTCTAACCTGATAGACTAGAGGGAAGGCAACTAGTTAACTGCACCCACCGCCAACTCTTACTTTACTCTAATTAAGTAGTGAGGGTTTGGATGTCGATATTTTAAACGCCTCCAAAGTTTGGAGGGGTAACCACGAGATCTCAGATTTACAGTTCAGCACGCTAAATACTGGGTCACGCACGGCCCTTATTGTAACCTAATTATAACAAATACCTTCATAGGTCATGGTCATGATTATTAAAGCTACGGTCATTGTTATGATTATTAAAGCTAAGGTCATGGTCAAAATTATTAAAGTTAAGGTCATGGTCATGATTATTAAAGCTAAGGTCATGGTTAAGATTATTAAAGCTTAGGTCATGGTCAAAATTATTAAAGCTAGTTCATGGTTAAGATTATTAAAGTTAAGGTCATGGTCAAAATTATTAAAGTTAAGGTCATGGTCAAAATTATTAAAGTTAAGGTCATGGTCAAAATTATTAAAGTTAAGGTCATGGTCAAAATTATTAAAGTTAAGGTCATTGTTATAATTTTTTAAGCTAAGGTCATGGTCAAGATTATTAAAGATAAGGTCATGGTTAAGATTATTAAAGTTAAGGTCATAGTTAAGATTATTAAAGTTAAGGTCATGGTTAAGATCATTAAAGCTAAGGTCGTGGTTATGATTATTAAAGCTAAGGTCGTGGTTATGATTAAGTGTTATCTTATCTGACTATCTGCTGAACTTTCCAGAGAGTTTTGTCTTATCTTATTAGGAACGTCGTAACAATTTATTGATAGCCACTATAGATGTTTAGGCTTTAGCTTTAAAATATCTACTGAACTTTCCAGAGAGAGTGTTATATTATCTGTGTATCTACTGAACTTTTCAGAGAGTGTTATCTTATCTGAGTATCTGCTGAACTTTCCAGAGAGTGTTGTATTATCTGTGTATCTACTGAACTTTCCAGAGAGTGTTGTATTATCTGTGTATCTACTGAACTTTCCAGAGAGTGTTGTATTATCTGTGTATTTACTGAACTTTCCAGAGAGTGTTATATTATCTGCTGGAAAGTTCAGTAAATACACAGATAAGACAACACTCTCTGGAAAGTTCAGTAGATACACAGATAATACAACACTCTCTGGAAAGTTCAGCAGATATTCAGATAATACAACACTCTCTGGAAAGTTCAGTAAATACTCAGATAATACAACACTCTCTGGAAAGCTCAGCAAATGCTACAAGAAAACATGACATCTTTTTTCTCCCCCCAAATAGGTCGTTTCTTTGCCTTTTGTCAAACTTAAAGCTAACCAATGGGTTGTCTGAACTGTGCCCACCACGGGTACTAAAACTCGGGCTTAAAGTTATAAGTTTTTTAGACTTACCACTGAGGGCACCAAAAATTGGAGAATCAAAGATCTGCTTGTGGGTGGTATTAAGATAATCCAATGAACTATGAATGTATTGAACTATGCGTTAAAGACATTATTCATCAGTGTTTCTTTAACACTGGCATAGTTACTGATTTATTGTCATTAAATAACAAACGGCTTGTTATGAAAAAAAGCTATTATCAAATTTCATTAAAATACATTGACATGAATTAACTTTTTTTTATTCTGTAATTACATAAAAAAACTCACTTGATTTTTGTCAAGATCTCCTTTTTCTAACTCTTTTTCCCCCTGTTCCTGAAATGTGATGATTATTAAGGCTACGAAAATGTTTACAAAAAAGAAGGGAAAAACGATGAAAAAGACCACGTAAAAAATTGCCATCTCAATTCTAAATCTTGGAAGAGGCCCATAGTCTTCATATGTTGCATCCATAGAATTTTGTAAGACTCTGGAATATAAAATATTAATTAATTATTTTTGTAGATGTACTGAGAGATTTCTTCTTAGCATTTAGCTCAATTTAAAGTCTGCTATAAAACTGACCTTTCTATCGAGAAGTCAAATTTACAGGTTAGAGAACTTTGACACTTTTACCAATCTTACAAACTATGAAACTGTGGGTTATTTATCAAGGCATCAGAGTTACAGATTATATAACTCTGGGCTATTTACGAAGGCACCAAATTTACAGATTATGTAACTGTGGGATATTATCAAGGTACCAGATTTATAGATTATGTAACTGTGGGATATTATCAAGGTACCAGATTTATAGATTATGTAACTGTGGGATATTATCAAGGTACCAGATTTATAGATTATGTAACTGTGGGATATTCTCAAGGCACCAAATTTACAGATTATGTAACTGTGGGTTATTTATTAAGGCACCAAATTTACAGATTATGTAACTGTGGGTTATTTATTAAGGCATCAGACTTACAGATTATGTAACTGTAGGTTATTTAACAAGGCATCAGATTTACAGATTATGTAACTGTGAGCATCAGATTTACAGATTATGAAATTGTGGGTTATTTATCAAGGCATCAGAGTTACAGATTATGTAACTGTGGGTTATTTATCAATGAATCAGAGTTACAGATTATGTAACTGTGGGTTATTTATCAATGAATCAGAGTTACAGATTATGTAACAAGGAGTTATCTATCAAGGGATCAGATTTACAGATTATATAATTGTGGGTTATTTTTCAATCAATCAAACTTACAGACATCAGACTTATAAATGATGTAATTGAGGATTTTTTAAAGGCTTTAATTATTTTACTCATAACTTTAAAACTTAAACGTTACTCAGGTTCACCTTTTTTTAGACAAGGGAATTTATAAGAAAATATATTTTAACTTACGCAGGCCAACCCTCTCCTGTGGAAACTGTGAAAAGGGTTAACATGGCGGACATGACGTCATCATAGTGAAACGGTCGTTTCTCCCATTCCCGTTTATGAACTTCTGGTGGCTTACCGTTTTGAGCAAATACAAAATATTCGCCTCTGATTGAACAAAAACAACATTCACACGTGTAATTAACATGACATTAAATGATATAAAATTAAAGACATGAAAATGTTACTTTTTTCTACTTTTAAAATAATGGAACGAAAATTACCTCGTTGTTTCAGAGTCTACTGCTGCTCTAATTGTTGTTTAAGAGTCTACTGTTGCTCTCATTGTTGTTTAAGAGTCAAATGTTGCTCTGATTGTTGTTTAAGAGTCTACTGTTGCTCTGATTGTTGTTTAAGAGTCTACTGTTGCTCTGATTGTTGTTTAAGAGTCTACTGTTGCTCTGATTGTTGTTTATTATGACCAATTTACAGTGTTATTATACATCAATACACCCTGGTACATGGTTGAGGTCACTTGTATGACGTCAAATCAGAGCAACAGTAGACTTTTAAACAACAATCAGAGCAACAGTAGACTCTTAAACAACAATCAGAGCAACAATAGACTCTAACTGGAATATATTGTTTTTTATGGTGTTTAAACTCAAATCATTCTGAGAATGTATGAAATTCATTAAATTAGTTTCTCGTGACTTTAGGTTCATTATGTGATTAGAACTACTCCTTCTCAGTCAAATTATCTGTTAGCTATAAAAACGGTTTTAATGATTTTTAAATGGTTTCTTCTGCCGCCTTTGAGATAATCTGTAACGTGTTTCTGTTTTGTTTTACTTAGTAAAATATTTTACAAGAAGACTTACTCGCATTCCGATCTCGTGAGTTTTGATTCATCATTGCAGAAGAAAAACCTCCCGTTGAAGAGCTGCACAGCTATCACAGCGAAGATGAATTGGAAGAGGATGTATACGATAAGAATGTTGAACACATTTTTCAGTGACGTCACCACACAGTCAAACACCGCCTAAAACCGGAGAAACCAATAGGTAATGAATAAAACAGAAACGGTAGCTATGACCTTTAAGTGTTAAATCACTATTAAAACACGTTTAGTGCAGAGGAAAAAAGGTTAGTGGAATTATTACAAATCAAGAGTGGGTGTGAAAAAGAAAATTGTTGACTGTAAATAAACTTCACGTGTAATTCGTGGTTTATTCTGTTAAAGATGATGGAATTATTTCCACCGAAACATGTATCGTTTTAAAGTTTTTTTTAACTTATATTTTTTAAACTTTATAAATAATTATTATGCAAGTAAAAAACGTTGATGTCTCGTTTGATTAATTTTATTTTAAATTTTTTTGGCAGAATAACTGTGTGTTTTACGTATTGAAAAAAGCATTCATTTGTCTAGAAAAACTATGTAATTAATTCTTTTTATTCTCAGTAAGGTAATCCTGGGAGTAAGCTAACACTAAAATGGACAAAATATGTTTTTGTTAAGAAATAGAATATCTGGAATTTATTATATGAACTTTTCAAGAAGATATTACAATCTTAGAGGTATGCTGAGAATATATTTAAACAAAGAATAGAGGTTATAACTGGGATATATTAAAACTTCTTCTAAATAATACAATGGTTAATACCTTTAACTTTGGTACACGTTTGATGGTTTTTAGCGGTCTCAGAACTCGAAGAACCCTCATGGATTTGATAGTGCTTAGATTTTGTCCCGTGCTGCTCCCTCTAGTGGTGAAAGTAGAAAGTAAAATTCGGTAATACTTCACTTTAAGATTTAATTAACAAAAAAAAACCCTTATGTTTACTATCTTAAAATGTTTCTACAGAAAATTAAAAATGTTTAAAATATAAAGATAAGCGTTAGGGATTTCATTTGATAAAATAAATACTATATTTTCGGAGAGAGAGGATAAAATAACGAACTATTTGTTGTTTAAAATAAACACACAGAAAATACATACGCATAGGCAAAGGCGACAAGAGCACATACTACAACAATGGCGTCCAATATGTTCCACGGATCTCGACAGTAAGAACCCGGATGAAAAACTATACCTTGATCTATTACCTGTGAAGGAAACCAAATACAATAATATTAAATTCCGGTCACAGCAAGCTACCTAACCGATAAACAGTGTTCTCACGTTTCTACTTTAAAGATTAGAATACATCGTTTCATCAGCTGGGTATCCTCGCTGTTAACGATATTTTCGGTCATAAACCCAATAATGTCTCATGAGTTTCGATTAGCTAAGCTAACAATGCAAAGTAATCTCAATGATAAAAGTATAAAATTATAGAATATACAACTAGATACATTGAACATTCTATATATACTATTACTGAAAGTAGCATAAAAAAGAATAGAGTATTTCTCATTTACGTAACATACTAACTCCATACAACAACTTTATTCTTAAGTTACTGACCCTTAAGTAAAAACCTAAAAAATTATATAAAAACACTCGAATATGCAACATCTGATTGTCTGTTTACATCTGTAATTCCTCTGTTTTTGAATTATGGTATTTGCTCTTTACAGAATGTTTGATATATTGGTGGTGCCGTAAACCAAATATTATTTTAAGTTTGTTTAAAAACTGTATGGTTTACTATAATGGCTATACCCAACTCCTAAATACTGTGTATGCTCTATTACAATATAGGGCTAACTCTGGTTTGTTATCATCATTCAAGCTGGTATAGAGACATCTAGTGGTCCTTCCTTCAAGCGGTTATAAAGGTATCAATTGGTCCTTCCTTCAAACAGTTATAAAGGTATCAATTGGTCCTTCCATCAAGCTGGAATAAATATACCATGTGGTACTTCCTTCAAGCGGTTATATAGGTATCAATTGATTGTTCCTTCAAGCTGGTATAAATATACCTTGTGGCCCTTCCTTCAAGCAGTTATATAGGTTTCAATTGGTCATTCCTTCAAACGGTTATAAAGGTATCAATTGGTCCTTCCATCAAGCTGTAATAAATATACCTTGTGGTCCTTTTTTCAAGCTGGTATAAAGATACCTAGTGGCCCTTCCTTCAAGCGGTTATCAAGGCATCAGTTCGTCGTTCTTGCAAGCTGGTATAAATAGACCTTGTGGTCCTTTCTTCAAGCTGGTATAAAGATACCTAGTAATTCTTCCTTCAAGCAGTTATAAAGGTATCAATTGGTCCTTCCTTCAAGCTGGTATAAAGACACCTTGTGGTCCTTCCTTCAAGCGGTTATTAAGACACCTAACTGTCCATCCGTCAAACTGATATAAAGACACCTGGTGATTTGACATTCAAACTAGTATATAAAGACACCAGTTTTCCATCCTTCAAGTTGGTGTAAAGACATCTAGTGGTCTGTTATCTGGTCATACATATCTTCCAAGTACAATCCATTTTATTACCACTAGCTGAGGGTACCTGTTTAGGAAGCAAAACTCTCTATAAAGGATAATGGTAGGTTATGTCCCCCTTCCTTCATTATTTTGTTATTAAATTTCTAATGACATCATTAGATGTTAATTGCATACCCTGCTTTGTGGAAGGTACTAATTGACTCATCTAACTGTGTTATTAAACTCAAAACCAAAAGCGTTTATGTCTCCCTTATCTGGCGAAAATCCTAAAACATTGTAATCTATGTAAACCGTTGCACAGTTTCTAATTACCATGTAAAACATTATGGTAATTGAGGTAGCCAAACATATTAATTGTTGCCAAGTGAACAACTACAGTAGAAGCTCCAACTACATTAAATGCTGCCATGTAAATAAGTTTGGTAGAAGTCCTAATTACATCACCTGTTTCCAACTTCGTTTTTGTAACTACAAGTAAAAGTACCCGTCCCCAGTGTCGGAAAAAGTTTAAGTTAATCTATCAATTGAAGTTATTTCACGGACTTTAAAAAGTATTGCACTTTTGGTTTAACTCAGAGCAAAAGGAAAAGTAATTGTTGAGCATTTCAGTCATGCTAAGAGCCACTCAGCAATAACATACGGTAAATCTACATTTTTATTCTTGAAGTTACGTCGCATTTTCAAATATGTATGATAGTGTGATTAATTGCTAACAATTTAGTGTAGAATATCCTGCTTGCGAAATAAAATTTGGCATCAACATTATTCATGCCTGTTCTCCCGTCATTTCAAAAGTAAATGTTGAGCTTTGTCTGCGTGAGAAACATTTTAAACTGGAGACAGACGAATACTCGGACAGACACCACGGTTCGTAAAATGTAGATATAAGATTACTGAAGATATCCTTGTCAGTGGTTCGGACTAAAACAGCTGTAATTACGTAAAATTCAGTAATATTAATTAAGACGAGGGTAGTAGTTCCAAGTATATATATATATTTGCCAAGTAGACTTTATAACCGTTACAGAATTTATACGATCTTCATCACACCACATTTGTTGATGGTTTATGAGAAAGGTGCATCACACCACATTTGTTGATGGTTTATGAGAAAGGTGCATCACACCACATTTATAACCGTTACAGAATTTATACGATCTTCATCACACCAC